CTCAGAGGGGCCCCCCCCCCCTATTAATGAGGGGGCCCCCCCTACTAATGAGGGCCCCCCCCCTACTAAAGAGGGGGCCCCCCCTACTAATGAGGGGCCCCCCAATGGAAGAGGTTGTCGCTGTGGAGTTCTTCTTTTCATTAAAGATGAAGCAGAGGGGCCCCCTTCAGGGGCCCCTACAGGCAGTTCATTGGGGGCCCCCTGAGGGGCCCCTAGGGGGCCCCCCATAGAAGCCCCTATGGGGGCCCCTATGGAGATCTGGGAAAGGGAGGGTACTGAAGGGGGGCCCCCTTCTAGGGGGGCCCCCCATTGCGTGTTTGTAAGGGATGTCAGTTGAGTGTTTTGTGTACACTCAGCAGAAGAATTGCTGCAAACTGCTTGAGACCGGAGCCCTCTTCTTCCTGACTGAGAGAAAAAACAAATAAATTAAATAAATAAATTTAAATAGATTATATACAAGGATATATACATATTATATATATTATATATCCTGTTGTTCTATAAATATATTATATATACATATATTAATATATATATGAATATATATATATAAACTTTTATTCAGTAAATATTATATATATGTATATATGTATATATATAATATTATTCTAGTATAGCTATAAACATAGAGAAGAAACAAACAGAATAAACGAAAAGAAAGAGGCAGCATAAGGTGTGTGTACACCGCAAAACAAACAAATGCAAAAACTAAATACAACCAATAGAACAAATGAATATAAACAAATAAATATAAATAAACAAATATAAAAAATAGAAAGATAAAACCCTCACCAGCTGAGAGAGAAGAGAGCGAATGTCTCTCTGCTGCTGCTGCTGCTGCTGCTGCCGTTGGGTTCCTCTTGCTGCAGCACCAAATCCCTGAGGTGTATATAGACACAAGCAGCAGCAGCAGCAGCATCAGCATCAGCTGCGTTTGCTGTTGCAGCAGGGGCATAAGCAGGAGTAGCAGCAGAAACCGCAACACGAGCGGCAGCATAGGCAGATGCAGCAACAGCAGCAGAAGCAGCAGCACAAGCAACAGCAGCAACAGAGAAAGCAGCAGCAAGAAGCAACAGCAGCAACAGAGGCAGCAACAGAAGCAGCAACCGCAACAACAAAAGGAGCAGAAGCAGCAGGGGGAAAGACATCAAACTGATTTTAGGGTTTGGGGTTTAGGGTTTAGGGTTTAGGGTTTAGGGTTTACATCTTTTTCAGGGCTGTCTCTGTCGCTGTGTTGTGCTTCCTGCTTTTTTCTTTTATTTGAAGCCCCTCCTCCTCGCCTTCCTCTCGTTGCAGTTGTTTGTTTGTTTGCTGCTGTCTTTGGTTCTTTTAACTGTTTATTGCTGTTGCTGCTGCTTGTATTTCGTGTTCGCCTTGATGCTGCTGCTGCTGTTGCTGCTGCTTCTGCTGCTGTTGCTGCTGCTAAACCTTCTGAATCGGTCTCCTCGCTCTCACTGACGTCTATCACTACCCCTTCTTCTGTCCGCTCTTCTGCTGCTGCTGCTGCTGCTTCTGCTGCTGCTGTCTCTGAATCCAGTGCAGCAGCAGCAGCAGAAGGGCCCCTATCTTCTTCTGCTTTCTGTTCTCCCTCCTGAAATAAACAAAGAGATATAAATACGTCAATTAAAAGAGATAAAAATAAATGTATTTATTAAAACAAATAAACATAAATATATAAATAGAATAAACAAAACACAGCAAGATATAAACATATTTATTAAAATACGCACAGACAACAAAAGCAAAAGACGAATAACAATAAATAAAAGAATAAAAATATAAAAGAATAAAAATAAAAATATATTAAAATAAAAAAATAAAATAAATCAAAGACCCACCGCCTCTGTCAGTCGCTTCATGCGCGCAGCCTGAGTAAAATCCTGAGAAAAAATAAATAAATTAAATAAATAAAATAAAATAATTAATTAAATTAATTAATAAATTAATAAATAAATAAATTAATTAATTGAAATAAATAAACAAACAAGTAAATAAATAACATTAAATAATTAATTCGTTCATTCATAAAACAAAGACGAGGAAATTTAATTTTATTAATTAAACAAACGACAATCAATTGAAAGACAATTAAATAGGGTAGCAGCAAACGACTCAGCACGCGCTGCTGCTGCTGCTAAGTTGCTGCAGCTGCTGCTGCTCATCTGCTGCAGCAGCTGCTGTTGCATGCATTTGTGTGTTTGATTTGTTTATTCGGTAAAAGGTGTTTTGCTACAAACGCAGTGAGAAGAACATCCATTCAGGATTAGGGTTTAGGGTTTAGGGTTAGGGTTTAGCGTTTAGGGCTTAGAAGACAAGAGAGAAACAAAGAAAAGAGGCAAGCAGCAGAAACAAGATATACTTTTCTTTATAAGAATAAAACCCTCTAAACCCACACCCCCAAACCCTAAACCCTAAACCCTAAACCCTAAACCCTAAACCCTAAACCCTAAACTATAGGTAAGAGAGACCCACGCATATGAGCCCCCTAACATCTTCTTTCGAAGGCATTTCGTTGGGGCTTTTTTGTATTTGTTCGCGCAGCAACTGTCGTGCATGCAGGCGGGCAGTGTTTATACTCTTCTTAAGAAAAGAAGATATCGCCGAAGGGTCCTGCACCCAAACCCTAAACCCTAAACCCTAAACCCTAAACCCTAACCCCAATCCCTAAACCCTAATCCCTAACCCTTTACCCATAGACTCTACCCCCAACCTAGACCTTAAACAACTCCAAACCCTAAACAACTCCAAACCCTAAACCCTAAACCCTAAATAGCTCCAAACCCTAAACAACTCCAAACCCTAAACAACTCCAAACTCCAAATACTAAACCCTAAACCCTAAACCCTAAACCCTAAAGCTTACCAGCTTGACTGCAAAGCGCTGCACGGCGTCGTTGAAGTCGGGTTCTAACAACACCTGCAGCCCTCTCGCGTCTTCCATGTAGTGAAATATCTGCAAACGAACATAAAAAGAACTAAAATAAAATAAATTGATTGTATAATAAATCAGATTAATAAATAAATAAATAAATAAATAAATAAATAGGCGGATGAGTAAATAAATAAACTAAGAGGGGAAGCAATCGGAATAAACAAACAGCGAAACAAACAAAGCACAGAGATGAATGTCTGTGTAAAGAAACAGAAGAAAAACGAGTTAACAAACAAACAAACAAACAAACAAACAAACAAACAAACAAACAAATAAATAAATAAAATAAATAAATACATCAATTGCTGTCATTCTTTTAAAATGCCGGGGGATATCCAAAGAGGCGCCAAAAATCCTCAGACAATAAAAATCAAATATTGTTTACTTCATGCATATATATATATATATATGTATATATGTATATATGTATATGCAATAACATTCTTTATTTCACATATATATGTACATATATATACACATATATATACATATTATATATATAACGCTGTTAATTTGAGGTATACATATATGCATGCATGCATAAGGGATTGTTAATTTGAGGTGTATGCACATATCTGCATATATATATATATATATATATGTATATATGTAATAACATTGTTTATTCAAGGTAATATATATATATATATATAACATTGTTTATTTGAGGTATATATACATAATACATATATATATATATATTATATAAATGTATATATATATATTATATATATAATATTCATATATATTATTTGAGGTGTATGTGCGTACGATGTCGTGGATATCGGGCGGTCCATTGGCGGAAGCCGCTTCAAATTGCAATTCAGGGATTGAGGAGTTTGCTGTCGATACACTGAAAATAAAAATAAAATAAATATAAATATAAATATAAATGTAAATATAAATAAAAATATAAGCATTAACTGTGCAGTATTGCAGAGAGACAGTAGTAAAAATATAAATGGTTAGATAAACATAAATAAAAATATAAACATTAACTCTTCATTAATGCAGATAAGCAGCAGTAAAAGGATAAACGCAGATTAAATCAAAGAAGAAGGGGGAGAGTGTTTGCTTGTCAAAGTCTGTCTGTCTGTAATGAAATCAAAGATATCGCAGACAAACAAAAAAACTCTAATCAGATATTCAACAATTAACACATTTATGGTTTAGGGTTTATGGTGTTTAGGGTTTAGGGTTTAGGGTTTAGGGTTTGACTAGCCCTTCTTTATAAGTTCTTTTTTTATAGAAGGCGAGGAGACTGTCGGGGTTTGCAATGCGTCCATTGAATTGAGCAGCAAAACGAAGAGCGCTGATTGTGGGATATCCTGTGTTATCTACTTTAAGGCGAAGTAGAGGGAGAGTGTTTATTATCTCTTTGTTTATTTTTGTTTCTTTGTCTCCGTCTCTCTCTTCTTTTTCTAATCGAGACAGAGACACTAGGTCTTGTGTTGCTCCAGACTTGTAGTTGCAGAACAGCTGATATGCCTGTCTTTTCTTATTCACGCATTTACCACCAACACCCTCCTGCTGCTGCTGCTGCTGCTGCTGCTGTTGCTGCTGTTGCTGCTGCTGCTGCTGTATAATTGCATTTCTTTTTGCGTTGTACTGCAGCAGCATGTCTTCGACTACTTTGGTCAGCACTTCCCACGTCTCTTTGTCTGCTGTTGCTGCTCCTATACCTCCTTCTTGAAGGGGGCCCCCCCCCTTCCACTGCGCTGAAGCGCAGTCTTTCAGCAAATCCGCAAGACAAACATCTTCAATTAATAAAGGCCGAACTGTCGTCAGAGGCACAGGCTTCACTCGGAAACTGTCGCCTCTGCATGCAACGCACGTGCATGTACACCCCAACAAATATATATATATATATATATATATACAGCAAAGCACTTGTTATATTTTTTAATAAATTAGTATGCACATAAACAGAAAGAAAACCAGAATTATATATATAGAGGGGAGACAAAGACGAAACAAAGAAATCACAAAAGAATATAAACATATATATATACATTTATAAATATATATATAAACATATATATATATATAATCATATATATACATAAACATATATGTAAACGGGAAGAAGGAGAAGAAGAAGAAGAAGCAGACGAAGATGAACAAGAGCAACAAAAGAAGAAGAAAAGCAAAATAAATATATAAATATATAAATATTTGTATTCGTGCTACAACCCCTCGCCTCCCCACAACGGTGTGCCCCCCACCCTCTTTCTTCAGATTGACGTTGAGTGCTTCATTTGAATAAAAATGAAATAAAAAGAAATGATGAACACCGCACAGCACCAACAACACGCTGCATGCAAGCGCTACCCCCTTGGGGTGTATGTACAGCTGCGGCCAACCTAATCTCTAAAATGAAGACATGTTTGGGGTTTGTCTCCCCCACAGATAAAGAAGTAGCAATTGAAGAGCCTGGCTGCAGCAACATGCAGCGCCCCTCCACTGAACTCCGCAACTCCGTCTGACAGTCGTGCTCGTGGCCCTAAGCAAATATAACCCAATCTATGTACACCCCAAGATATGTGCATATATATATATATATATATATATATATATATATATAGCTCAGTCAATATATACACCCCTAGATGTATATATATATACCCCAATCAATATATACACCCCAAGGTATATATATATATATATATATATATATATATTATATATACCCCAATCTATATACACCACAATTCATAGACACCCCAATCCATATGCATCCCATGGTATGTACACCCCAAGATGCATACACCCAAAGACGCATACACCCCAAACTATTCAATATACCCCCCAAGACATATACACCCAACGACAGATACACCCCACAACTTACACCATGCACCCCACAGCGTATACACCCCGATATTGATGCAGCCAACACAACATACACCCCACGACACATCACATACACCCCATAGCAAATCCACGATATACACCCCACAGCATACAGTATACAAGGCACAACATAAGCACCACAACATATACACCCCACACCAGAGAGTATACACCCCACAACATATACACCCAAAAACACATACACCCCACAGCAGATACACCCCACAGCATACAGTATTCACCCAAAGACGCATGCACCCTAAGACGCATACACCCCACAGCATACAGCAGAATACACCCCATAACGGACAGCAGATACACCCCACAACAGACAGCAGAAACACCCCACAACAGACACCAGATACACCCCACAACTCAACAAATATTTTGCTGCTGCTGACCCAGACAGTCAAATCAACGAAGGAAGGCAGCATCCGCTCCAACACGCAGTTCTTCGCTGGCACACCACCGTGCCCTCCTTTGTACCTACACCATAAACCCTAAACCCTAGACCCTAAACCCTAAACCCCCAACCCCAAACACTGGACCCTAGACCCTAAACCCTAATCCCTAACCCCCAAACCCTAAACCCTCATATGGAAGTACGCCTCCCCTCCATAATTATTAAACAGCAGCTCCTGTTCACTGCTGGGGCATCGAAAAAAGGTTTAAGAGATTCTGTTTGGTGTTTCTTTCTTGTCTTAATGCAGGTAGATAAAAAGACTGAGAATAAAGCATTATTAAAACAAACAGAGTGCGTCAATGAAACCCAAATAGGAGGGCCCTAAACCTCTAAAGGCATTCGGTATTAGGGAAGCAGCAGGTGTCATCTCTCTGATTATTTTTGATTTTACACCCCACTCTACAGCCACAGCAAACGGAAGGTGTGTTGAGGTGTATATACACCGCAGCAGCATTCCATACACCAGAAAAGGAGCGCTGCGGTGTACAGACAAGAAAATAATTTCTTTCGGTGTCTCCTCACATATTCTGATGCACGAGAAGGACATTAAACCAATTCTGCACGGGTTCGTCTGCAGGTACTTCGTACGTAACCTAAGAGAAAAAAGAAAAAAGAAAAAAATAAAATTAATCTATCAAAAGTAATTCCTGCTGAGATATCAGCTGCAGCAACAGCAGCGCAAAAAGCAACAACAGCAGCAGCAACGGGAAAAGCAGCAGCAGCAACAGCGCCCGAGGAGGGAGCTACAGCAGCACCCAAAGCATCAACACAGCAGACTCTGTGGCAGCTGCAGCTTCAGCAGCAGCAACAGCAGCAACAGCAGCAACAGAGGCAAGTGCAACGGCAGCAGCAGCAGCAGCAGCAGCACTAGCAGCATGAAGCTGAGGAAAGAGGCAATCCTCCTCCAGCCTCAGCTGGGGTGTATCTCCACTTGCTGTTGTTTGTTTTGCGTGGAGTTAAGAGTAGAGGATCATTTAAATGTATTAATATACGAAACAAACTTAATAAAAAGAGATAAAAGACAGCAGCAGCAGCACCAGCAGCAGCGGTTATCTCATAACTAACCTTCCCGCTTAGATAAGCCCTGTGCAGCCGTTCGTCTCTAACCCAACCCATGCCATACACCGCAAGCTGTATAGCAGAAACAAAAAGAAATAAAAGTAAATAAAAATAAATAAAAGGAAATTTAAAAAACAATGAAAGAAATGAAAGTCAAAAGAAACAAAAGCAATAAGAGCAAATAACAAGAAATAATAAACAGAAAGAAATACGAGGAGGTAATAAAAAGAAATAATAAAAAGAAATAATAAAAAGAAATAATAAAAAGAAATAATAGAAAGAAATAATAGAAAGAAATAAATCACCATACACAAAGAAGGGCACGAAAGGATAGACAGAGGCAGACATAGCCCGCAACAAAACAAACAAATAATATAAATAAATTAAAAATAAATAAATAAATAAATAAATAAATAAACGGGCAGACAAACAAAGCAAAGAAAGCAGCGAATGTATGTTTATCTCCTTTTTTCAATAATATTTATTTATATTCAGCTAAACATCAGTGCAGCAGCTGAATAAAACAAACACCAGAAAAGAAAGTAAATATTTAATTTATGAAAATAAACCCAATATAACCCACACCCGCATGCAACAGAGGCTGAGGTCTCCAACACTAATAAAAAGAAGAAATAGCTTTCACAGAGAGGCAATAAGAAGAAATAAGAATATTGATTATTTATAGAAAGACGAAGAAGCTTTTCTATAGAAATACGCACATCCGCGCAAACAGCCAAGCCTAAATAAACCGAATATAAAGAGAATAATAAAAGGAAAGAAAGAAGAGAATATTTATTTAAAATAATAATACAATAATATACAATAAACAATTAACTGCACACTCGCCTTTGAGGTTCCCTTGCGAAACAAAATCGGGCGAATTCGAATATCCTCAATGTCGTCAACTCTCCCGAAGTAATTTATCTAAGTGCATGAAAACAAAACCCTAAACCCTAAACCCTAAGCCCTTTAATGATTTATCTAAATGCAATAAAATAATAAACACGCGCACAGATAGGCAACAACAAACCCTAAACCCTAAACCCTAAATTGAAAAAGAGTAGGTCATCTGCCTCTGTTTGCCTCGCCCAATATCTCCTTCTCTGCTCTCCACAATAAACAAGCCCTGGTCCCTAACCCCAAACCCTAAACCCTAAACCCTCACTCCCCACCACTGTCTCCAACTGTATTGAGTGAAAGGGAAATAATGGGGCAGTACAACAAAACGAATTCAGCCTTTAGGTGTTTTGTGGTGTATGTACAGCAGAAAGAACTTCACCTACCAAATGCGCAGCCTCCAAAATGTCTAAAGGAGATAAATGCGAGGCATCTCCGGGATCGTCTGCGTAAACCAACCCTAAACCCTAAGCCCTAAACCCTAAACCCTAAACCCGAATCTGTAAACAATAGAATGCCACGAGAGCATGTTCTCTGCATAATCTTTCACAAGAAATGGTAGGCACTGTACGTACACCCCAAATAAAGACATTACATGCGAATTTTCAGGGCTTCTAACGAGGTGTGGGGCGCGGAGTGTATAGACAGCGGCGGCTTGCAGCAGCAGCAGCATTAGCAGCAGCAATGGCAGCAGCAGCAGCAGCTGTACCTACCGTGGTTGCCATGCATAGCAAATACCGGCATGCAGACGTTGACATTTTCATTTAAGTAGTTCAACCCAAACCGAAAGGTATCGCACGCCCCCCGCGGATCCATCTGTGTTGCTGCGGGGTCTTCTGTTGCTGCTGCTGCTGCTGCTGCGGTCTGCTGCTGCTGCTGTTGCATGCGTCCGTTGTGCAGGCCTTGAGAGGCAGCCGAATGGCTGCCCACTGTGGTTGCTGCTGTTGCTGATGCAGCGCTGCTGCTGTATGCATGCGTCTGTGAAGTGTCTCTGTGTGGCGTTTGTATGTTAGAGGTGGAGAGGACGTCGAAGAGAACAGCCCCAGGCCCGAGGCAGTACTTCCGCAGCAAACACATCGCCCTGTACCTGCAGCAGCAGCAGCAGCAAGAGCAACAGCAGCAGCAGGGCAGCACCAACAAGCAGCAGCAGTAGGAGACAAAAACAAAGATAAAACCGAGCAGCATTTGGTGGTTTCCCTCCTCTATATGCACGCAAAAAAGGAGAAAGGAGAGACAGTAAAAGAAAAACAACAAACAGCACACCCCATATCCACATATCACCAGCAGCAAGGAGCAGCGAACTGCAGCAAACTGCAGCAAACTGCAGCAAACTGCAGCAAAGTGCTCCTTTAGCAGAAGAACAGCCACTGACACTAGGCTATAGAGCCCTTTCACGTTGTCCACTTCGCTAGTTAAGCTCGCTCAGGCTTCAATAGCAGTAAAGAGGAAGGGGCTTATCTATATTTATATTGAATGCTATTTCTTTTCGTGATGAAGAGGTTTCTGCCGGTCGGTTGTTGTTTTACTGTCGCTGTGCTGGGGAGATGAAAGCAACATTCTGCTGCTTCGGTGTACAGTAGGGCCTGCTGTTGTTTGTTATTTGTTTGCTGTTTTGTGATGCACGTTGCTCCGCTTGTTCGATATGTTGTGTGCTGCAGTTGTTTGTATGCTGGGGTGCTTGTTGTGGAGTACTTCATAGTGCTTATATTCTGCTGTTTATGCATATGTCTGCTCGCCGTTTGTTGTCTATGTTGTGCGGTATAGGGAGCTCTCACAGGGTCGTTCTAGATGGTTTGTTTTCATCAAAGAGGTCTCCCGCGTGCAGCATAAAGTCGACGTTTTCTCTCCTTCCAATTTGCAGTATTTCTTCGAATGTTCTGAAACTGTCGTTGCCGCGAATAGGGTCCTCTCCTTTATAGCCTAAGTGGGTGTCTGTAGCAATAAGGATTTTAAAGGTGTTCTCATCGGCTTCCTCCCTTTCCTGAGCCTCAACAGGGGCCCCATCCCCTTCTCCCTCTCCATCAGCGAACAGAGGGGGCCCCCGAGCCTCGCCTGCATCTGCGGCGTTCTGCTGCAAGGCCTGGCTAAGGATGTTGCTGCTGCTGCTGCTGCTGCATGTTGCTGCAGCGACTGGCAGCCTCCTTGCGTTGAGGGCCCCAGATATGTAAGATGATTCCGCCATTCAACAGAAGAAGGAAAGCCAGCGATGCAGCTGAAACCGGAAAAAACCTGAACATGTGCCGGGGAGCTTCGGTGCTAAGAAACGCACTCCATTGGCTTGCATATATGTTCTCGTGGTCTTTTTAAGGTGTTATAGGCGAAGTATATGGGGGAAAGAGATTCTCGTTCCGGTGCGTTTGAAAAACAAAGGGAAGAAACTGAACAGACAGGGTGGAGTGCAGGCAGAAGACGGGGGAAACCTGGAGAAAGCAAGCAGACTCGCCTCTACCGTGTTGTCACAATCTATAAATGGGAGTAATAAACTCGATTTTTGAGGATTAATAAGTTGCAAAAACAGGGGAAAAGGATACAGTCAGGAAGAAAGCGGGGGCCACAGACCCAGGGATGTGGTACTCCTTACTGGGTGGGTGAGGTTGCTGCAGCTGCCGGTTTTTTCGCGAAACTTTAATGTTGTTTAAGTTAAATGGCTGAAAAGGTTGACTATATTTCCTTATTTTTTAACCCACAACTGTTTAGGTATAGCCTGGTTTCTTATTTGAGCCCTGCATCCCCCATACAACTAACCGCTGTGTTTCTCTATGTGTGTGGAACGCCTGCCTTCCCTCGGGCTTAAATGTCTTTTTAGAGGAACAATTTAATGCGAATCCCACTGCGAAGGGATTTCTTTGGTTGTGTAATAACAATACTATTACTTTGTTGGGAAGGAGAAGGAGCATAGAATGAGGATGCTACAGGCTGGGGTTGTTGCTATTATTCAGCATCTGCTTCGTCTTACTCCGAGACAGGCCGGGCGGTCGGTGCCTCTTCCGTTTCTGTTTGTGTGCATCACTGGACCATTGTCTCAGACCCCATGTGTTTTTATTTATTGAAAGAAATAAATACTTAAATTCTTTTTTCTTGATACCTACATTTAAGCCCCCAACGGCTGCATTTTACCCTTCTTTCCGTGCTGCGGACCTCTTTCTCTCCAGGCATCGCATTTCGAGAAACTCAGGGGTGATGGGGAGGTCACATTGACCTCCATTTTACAACGTTTCCCCCATAAAATAAAGTTTAAACCACTTTCTTTTATTTTCTTCTTTTTAGCTGCGAATTTTCCCTTTCCTCTTCTTTCGTCATTCACTATGATGCGCGAGGACTCGGCGGTGGCCGAAACTGCCTCCCGCTCCACTGGCCCGAGAGAAGAAAGAGAGGGAAATGCAGAGACGGCTGCTCTTCTTCTTCATGGATTAAGTGGAAGCGTCAAGGAGAAGCTAAAGACTTTTGAATGCAAGCAACAGCCGTCCGTCACACTCGTACTGAGAAGCTACAATCGGCAGGACCTGCTGCTCGCCCTGACGCTTGCGCTGATGCTGTTCCTATTCCTACTGTTGTTTCTGATCCTTCTGTTTCTTCTGATCTGCGACTGCCTCTGATGTTGCTTCTGGTGCTGCCTCCGGTGCTGCTACTGCTGCTGCGGCTGCTGCTGTGGCGATCTCCACGTGCCTGTGAAGATAATAAATGAGGAAAGCCTGCGCCAATTGGCTGGTGTGTTAAAGGAGGTCGGATGTGTGCGTTGCAGAGACAGCGCGATGCAGCCATCGTGTAGCAGAACGGTGCTCCGTCACAAGCATCAGGGGGTGAATGCAACAGCCTCAGCAGCGGCAGCATCTGAAAAGAAGGTGAGGATGAATTAACTACTGCCGATAAAGACAGTTTTATCACTACAGATAAAAATTATTGTGTTAATAATATTGTTGAAACGGCACTTTTAATGCACCCACAGCCATTCCCCTATGCCAGGAAGCCCGCACCAAGCAGCACCCTAAGGGATTATTGTACACACAACAACGACAGGCTGATTTCCCTTGTGCACAATGGAAAGCAGTCTGCTTTTGTTTATCTTCTTCAAATCCTATTCGTTGCGCCCTTGAAAGGATCCCACCAGGATTACAGGGTCTGTCTGTGCTTGGTGAAGTTTGCATCTTCGTGCACGTATTTATTTTAAACAATATACGTATGTGCTTACATACATATGTGTACACATGCATATATACCTACAAAATATATATATATGGGCTTGCTTTTGTGGGGATTGCAGTTACGTGAACTTGAGGGGGTGTTACGGCACCGCGAGGATTTGATTCGTTCGCTTGAAGGGGCCGTTGCTCAGCGAGACTCTGCCTTATCGTTTGTGTTGAAGGAGAAATTTCATCTCTCCAAAGCGATTGTTGCATCTCGTGCTGCGGCTTGTCAATCTTCAGCTGGGGAGAGCTGCAGCAGCAGCAGCAGCAGCAGCAACTGCAGCAACAGCAGCAGCAACGGCAGCAGCAGCACCAGCCAACCAAAGGCGCCATCAAAACCGGGAGGAGTTTCTTTTGCTCTCCCTGCTGCAACTATGCTTGTGCACGAGCATGACGCGTTTCCTGCTTCTTCTGAGGGCTGCAGCAGCAACTCTGAGCAGACACGTGAGTGTGGAGATGATGCTTGCGAGTCAAATAAAGAGGCTGCAACAGGAGAACTCAGCAGCACTTCAACAGACGGGGAGGTGCGCGCATTGCAGCAAGCGGGAAACGCTTCGCTGGAGGAGTTAAAAACTCAAAAGAGGGAGCCTCAACTCGCAGCACCAAGTGAATCAGATGAGGGAAAGCAAACAAATACATCCGTCAGGACAGAAGGGTCCTTGCAGGCTGCCAATCTTCATGCGAACCCATCTGCTGCTGATGAGGGTGATTCTATCAGGGGAGATCGACAGAAGCCTTCATTTGGAGAGTCTGAATTGAAAGTTTCAGCTAGCAATACAGACGAAAAGGAGTTCAACGGCATGCAGACAAAAGAGGCTGCTGCACATCTCGTCACTGAAGGCAAAGGCGATCTGCACTGCTGCAGAGAAATGAAACCCCCTGTGCATTCCAAGGCTTTGCTGGCAGACGCTGCTGCCTACCTCGGGTCAAATGGGTGGCGGCTCAGCAAAAACTGTCTCGTGAAGTTGAAGGACAATGGAGGCCTCTCGTCTACAGCAGATGCAGAGGGGTTCCCTTCCACCTGCACTTCCTTTGATGAGGAGGCGCATGGCCTCTCTGAGCAGCATGGGAGTGAGAAGGCGTCTGCAGGCGGAGGGGAGAAACGTGAGGCGACTTTTTTTTGTGAGGAGGTGAAGAATGGGGGAGAGGAAGGAGAAAATGCTGCTTCCATCCTTCAGCCCATAGACGCCCGAGATACGCAAAGCGGCAGCAAGGTGAGTACAGCTGCTGTCACTGCCTCAGCAGCACTGCAAGGATTATGCAGACAGCAGTTTCTCCTTTCAATCCGTCAGAAGGACAGCACTTTATGAGGATCTCTCCTCTTCCAGCTCTGCTTGTGCGCCTGCAGTTCCAGGCGGAGCTCTTTTTCAAGGCGTTGTTGGTGAGATTTCCTCCTCGCATTTTGCCGCAGCACTACTTAGTTAGAAGGAATATAACTGGTTTCTCGTTTCTTTGTTTGCAAAAACCCTCTTAGGCTGAAGAGTGTGCGCGTTCGTTGCAGGTTCAAACTCAAGCCATGATTGACGCGGAGGCGGAAACCTCTGACGTTCTGGAGATGCAAGAAGGTGAGAAGTGGAAGATTTCTTTAATTTTCAGTGAAATAGTAAAACTACTGAACAAACTTCACGGGGATATTGAACGCAAGCTGAAGTGCGGGTTTAAGCATAGAGAGAGATCCGCAATTCATGTTTCGCCTGCACTCTGCACTGACCGACACAAAGATATTTTTTGCATGAGTCTCGCTTCTACCGAACGGCTCCTTAAGTGCAACAATTCACAGCTTTAATACACCCTATTCTCTAGACAAGTACTGCTAATGACTTCCTGCCACTCTGCTGCTTACAGAGTTGTCGACCAAAATCGACGTGTTGCAGAATGCATTCGAAGAGGTAACAGCAGACCCCAACCTAATTACTTCGAGGCATTTTAAAGGGCTACCGTACTTCGTGTAAACTGCCAATGCATTCAGATCTACCTGTCGTGGCGTTTTGTGCTCAGATTTGCCAAGAGTTAGATGCCGTCAGAAAAGAAAACAGAGCACTCTCACAGTAAGACTATCTGTACACTGTTAAAATCCAGTAGGCCCCCTTCACGATAAAGCAGGAAATATACAGCCCTCTCTTTGTTTTGGCTGAATACTCCTTCAGTGCGCGCAAGCACGCTGGCAGTTTGAGCGTGGCATTCACGCCGGAGCGCTCCTATTCACCAGATACTTCTCACGAGTTCGCCATGGTGACTCTAAGAAGAGCTACTGCTGCATTTTACCAGTGGGCAAGTGCCACCTTTTACAATATGATCCTGGGTGGTGTTGTTCAGAGGGGCATTAGTAAATTGTTCGCAGAGGACTTCTGATGCTGAAGAATCCCAACAGTGTAGGGGAGCATTTGGGAACGGTACGTGAAGTATCTGGAAGCGCATTTCCCGATTTAATGATGTGCACCCTAGAAATATTTGCGGTGCTTTCGAGAGCAGCAAGAAAGCGCATCCAGCAAGATACTATCGTTTTCGGATGCCTGTCTAGGGAAATGACAGAATGTGACTGTATGCCCCTTCCAGCAGACAAAGGCGGGGTCTGCAAGTCAGAGTGGCGCCCGGAAGCGATTTCTTCCGTATACAGAACGCCGGAGGTGTGTCTGTGTTCCTATACAAGAAACGAAAGCACTGGAGAGCACGCGCAGTGTTTACCTTCCGAATTGTACAATGCGGATAGTAATTTTCTTTTTTTGCAAGGTTCCGCAGGTATTTGGCAATTTCGACCAAAGGGTACGCACAGCACGTTTCCCCCAGCTCTGTGTGGTTGCACAGGGTGGCGAGCCTACTAATCAGCAGATGAAAGTGGCTCTGCAAACATTAGAGAAGAAGCTCAATGAAGCATATTTGCACCTCCAGGCCGTCGAAGAAAAAAACTGTAGATTGGAAACTGCCCTTGTCGCTGTTCAAGGTGAATTGGATGAAGCGCGGAGGCAAATATCCTTTTTGGAGCAACGGTGCAAACTCATGGAAGAGATTGACAGACGAGTAAGCATCTGCATTTAACTTCGGAAATATAGCGCTGCAAAATCGTCGAGGGAAATGGGCAGCTAGTTAAAGTGAATTTTTATTCTCCGGCATGTATGAATTCAAATGGCATGCGGTTGGCTGGCTGCGCGTTAATCAGACATGGCGTATGCTGGAGAAGTTGGTCTTAACTCGAGATCAAGGCAATGGACTTTCGAGTAACGGGCCATCAGCTACACTGGGTGGTATTATTTAAAACTGTTGCCGTTACGACCGAGAGCGTTCATGTTTTGGAGCAATGCAGTAGAGAATGATTTCGCATGAATTCCCAAAGATCTCTGGGGAGATGGAGTCAAGGTGTAGCACCTTTTGCAAATCTTTGTCATTTTTCTTGCACCTAGTGCAGGTGGAAGAAGAAACCGTACCTCTTGCTGTACGCGCCAAGCAGGAAATGGTAATTCAGGCCATTCGGCCTCTTTTCACTGCAGCGATGCGTTTCCCACGCCTTCTTAGCAGCGAAAACCAGCAAAGTGGAGGATGACAAACTAGTTGACAAAACACTTGAAGCTTTCACTTTCCGCAGTAGAAGAAATTTAGAGTGTGACGAACGGGCTGTAACTTAAAGCAAGTACACTGCTCAGGTGTACCGACACCTCGGAGCCGCCCAGAGAATGTGCACCCAGCCGCGCTGCACTAGAATTGCTGCATGAGCGAACAGTTTGCCGGGCTCAATTCCGGGGATTTACAATAGCCACTATTTCATATACCACCATGAGAGCCTACGGCGCGGCACTCGTTGCCGCCTGCTCCATTGTGAGCAGTGGTGCAACGGACGTTTTGGAAGGACCTGAGTTCATCGATGTCCTCCTCCCAGAAGTTGCGCACGTGTTTGGAGTTACGTCCGCCCATCACACGACACTAGAGGAAATGAACTTGTAACTTACATTTCTTCGGATCCAATGAAAGCCGATGTAATATTTTTTTTCTCCAGGAGAGTCGAAGATGTATACGTTCTTCCGGCTGCCCCTAAATTGGAGGATTGCCTTTCTGCTCTCGTTGGAATTCCGATGACCCGCCAGGTACACTCGAATCAGATTGGTGTACTAATCGTGTCCAAGCAAATGCCTTTTACAGGTCAAGCCATTCTCTGACTCTGTCAGCATGTTGGACGTCAAGCCATACCAAAATGCGCAACTGAAGATCGTAAGAAAGCCCACACTACCCTTTGTCAATCTCAGGGATCAAAAATTCACTCCTCAGGCAGAGGCACGCGCTGCGGAACTAGCAGCATCTGTTGCACCGGTAAATTTGACCTTCAAAATTCGAATTACCGTGGACTGGAACATGCGTGACTCAGCTAGTGGCCCTTGCACCCAAGTCCAAGTTCTACAAGTCAACATCCCTCACGAGTCTGAGCATCGAGATTGCGCCCGGCCCTTACCAATCCGCCTTATATGCGATTGTTCAGGCACTTATTTACGCCATTCTTGTAAGCATACTTCATATTTTGCACCCTCATGGATAGTTGATTCCTTCCTTGCTCAAATTTAGGTCCCTGGAGCACTTAGAGGCATCCGCAGTGGGTAAGAGATAAGTGGCAGCTAACGTTAAATGACGGAATTAAATGCGGGGATTTAGACGGTCAACTACCCATGCCCGGAAGATGCTTCTGGGCACAGCGTTCTTTGTCTTCCATTCTGCCGGCATCGTGATTCTCCAAAACGGTAAGAGCTAAAAGGCATGGCAACAAGCAGTTCGGTCATTTACAAGCTCATCGCAGTGTTATGCCTGAGAGCGCTCATCGCCATCCCGCTGTCTTTGGCTTTGGGTCTTGCCGCAATGATGCTGGCACTGAGAAGCGTGGACTCTGTCGAGCACCTCCACAAAGTTCGAGCGCACCTCCCCCACATGCAGGGAATGGAAAGAGTACGCTAGTGCAAGCCTTCACAGTCTCGATTTGCAGCCCATTATGTATCTCACAGGAGCCCCTTGCATGGTGTGCGTGCATGAAACTGTATTGCATCTTGCTGGCGAATATGTCCTACCACCTCATTTCAAGGCAAGCTGACACAATACTTCGTGCCTTTCTCGGTTTTTTATCACCGATAGCGCAGCCTGTTGCCATACCGATACGGTTTGGCAGGGATACTTACCGGCAATGTCATGTTGGCTGGGTTGCTTTATTTGGCATACCTTGTGGCCGTATCATCTCTAGTGTTCCATAAGATCAAAGAACATCCTGATAGCCGAAAAGTGCAATGCCGCATTGTTTCCCTCAACTGCGCATACATCGCCGCTTCCGGGATATCTTTCTACACTAATGTAAGCCCAACTTGCACTTTCTATGCGGAGTAGGAGTTGATCACTCCTTACAGCTGATTGCGGTCTACTGCGGGGTTGGTGACTTCGTCGCACTCGAGCCAGGTTAGTCAAGAAGATTGATTTCATCAATTACTCTAACTGCTTCACACGAGTTTTTTTCGCAGCCGTGTTCTTCACCGCCAACAGGATCTTTGAGCTTAACTTGGGAACCATCGTTGCAGTTATGGCCCTTCTGGCTATGTGGGGCATGGCATACCATGAGCAAAGTAGGAAGCGTAACGCACAGTGAACGCTTGATCCGCAATAACTTTTTTGAAATTAGGTCAAATGGATGAGAGCGGAAAGAATGTGTCTTCGATGTCTTCTGTGGCTCTGTCTACCCACGAAGAGTCGCGCAGAGCGCTCGAAGAAGCTCTCAACGAGATGCGCACTGGTGTGTACAAGGAGTGATCTTGCTCTTCGAACCGCATCTTTTGCAAATGCCTCAACAGTATATGTTGAAACACGTTTTCTGAAAGAGCAATCCGTTCTTCGACTTAGGATAGGAGTTACCTAACAATAGGTGAAACAGTGAGCTCTTAGTCATCGAGGCAATACAGCATGTGTAGTTTGCCGTATGTTGTCGCTGTCTACTACCGATCAAAAAGAAAGAAACTTACGGTTACAAAGCCAACACTGTGAATGCCGAAGGATTAATTGTTCTCGTATGGGTTTCATCGCCCAGCAATCAAACCTAGTGCTCGCGACGTGGTCCGGAGAGTGTACTGCCTCGTCGGCGCTAGGCAATGGTAGTGCGACGTCCTGAGCAGATAAAAGGTGGGCCCAGACACCGTTTCCAAAACTTCAAGCACAAAAACGGGAGCGTCCGGAACCATCTTCTGTTCGCTTCACTTCACGATGCCCCTACGCAAACTAACAAACGAACACGTCGGCGTCTCAGCAAGCTGCTCGATGGGCTGCATGCAAGAACGACGAACAAATTCGCGCAACTTGTATTGCTGCTAATTTTCATATAGCATCATTTTTCCCAGTTTTATTCCTCATGTATGAAAGCGTTCGCTCTGATCCCCTCTGAACGTTTGGAATCTCTCCACAATGTGCAGCCACCAGTGAATTTTCGCCAATGGGGGATTTGTAGGTTCCTAAGCAACAGATTTCACGCATGCGCACAGCATCTGCTCATAATAAGTTCGTTTGTATCATTGATGTTCGGAACAGATGTATCTCTTGGCAAGAAGTAACCTGGCCGCCCTCCCCTTCATAAAGCAAATCTCGGCCACAATGCTAGTTGCTCAACGCAAGTACATCGTGATGCAGCAGCTCATGCTCATGCCTAACAGAACTATGCTTGGTCTTTATGTGAGTTGCGCCTGTTGATGGTAGCTGCATGCGTTGGGGTTGTCAGCATCGGGACGCCAAACGAAAATGGACAGGCAGCACACGACGTCGATTTGTCCGCTGGCCTACGGGTCTCTTGCTGAGGCAGGAGCTGCAGTGGATACTCATCTACTAACACTGTGCCGTCCACATTACAAGCCACCAACTGCCATTTTGCCGGTGGCACAATATCTTTTGCCGTTGCCTCAAGACGGCACCCGTTGGGGATCACTCAGGGAGGTCTGCGATATCCTCTTTACGCCCTCCAGTCCGTCTTTTCTCTTAGCGTGTACGTCTGAAGGCACTGTTCTTAGTTTCGACATGAACCATGGAGCCTTCGTTTCTGAAATGCGGGTAACTGGGGAGCCTGGTGCGGTGCCCAAGAGCTATGCTGCTTGCGTCCATTTGAACCGGGACCCGAACACTCCTCTGCTTTTTTCCGGTTCCCCAAATGGCGACGTTATGGTATTCGACTCACGTACATCAGGTCTCAGCTCCAAGCTTTTTGGACAGAAGCTCTGCCCCACTCTTCGCCTTCCCTCCGCGCATGATGGTGCTCTTTGTGGGATCGGGACTGGCGTGGCTCTTCATCCGCAGTTATTTCTCACCGGAGGCCGCGATGACCGGTGGATTCGGGTTTTTGACCTTCGATTCCCATTTCATTACAGCTCTGGAGGTTCCGGCTGCGGAAGTATAACCCCATATCCACTGGAATCAAGGCGCTTAGGGCCGAGTGGGCCGGATGGCGGGTGCCAGTCTGCGTTCACGGCGTTTGACGTGTCTCCGGATGGGTCGTTGCTGGCAGCGTCTATCGCGCGGTATCGTGCTGTTGAGCACGCGGGAACTACTGGGGCTTTGGAATCGGCTGATGGCGAGACAATACTCATTAGCTTGCCGGACGGCATGCGTGCTACCAAAACCATCGCTTCCGCTGATGGATGTGTAGCGGATTTCGTTCAATTTTCTCCCAACGCCAAGTATATTTTGCAGACTGGTGGTGCAGGAGCAGCGCATTGCAACCTTTGCTGGCAGTGCGCATGCCGTTGTTTTTGTGGTTCCAGCGTTCCCCGACGACAGTTTAGTGCGCCGGGCAACAGCTGTAGCGGCTTCCAGCTTCGTACTCCTGCTCTCAAAGGATTTAGAAGAAACTTTTTGACCGAACCACGGAGTGGCAGCACTGAAGATGCACTTCTCAGGGACCGAGTCATGCCCGGCCAGACACCGAGTGGTCGTCGATGCGCTTATCACCGGGCTCAGCTTGTGAACCTGGTGCAGTCAAACAGGGCTGTCAACCTAAAAAGTCCCGCTGACGGTGCCGCCGCTTTTGCTGACTCATTCTGCCTATCCCACTCTCCTCAACGGCAACAGCCTGATGCAGACACTCAATTGGATCCGCCTGGAGAGGAGGAAGCTCCGGTGGAATGCATCCCACCTTCAGTGACACCGGCTGGGGAACAAACGCGCAGCTTTCTTCGTCTATTGCACTTCACGCTTTATGGCCCCCAAAGTGGCTACGGTCAGAGCTGCAGACAACGTTTCTGGGACCATCTCTACAGGGTGCAGAGCTCAAAGGTTGTTGCGGCTGGAACTGAAGGCGTTGTTGCCAACGCAGTGTCGCAGCGCATGCATAGTGCTCAGCAGCAGCAAGGAAGAAGTTGTAGAGAACGGAATCAGGCCTGTGTGAGCTCACCCGAGTATGGCGTCTGTACTAATTCGCCTACAGTTTCCATGAGAGGAGCGGAAGCTCCCTCGACAACAGTTTCCGAGGCAAGAGGAGCTGCCGTCAATGACGCACGAGCACCAACCAAGCCATTATTATTTCCCCTTCTTCACCCACAGCTGTCTCAGTTCGCCTCAAGCTGCGGTCCGCTGCACCCCGCTTTTGTCCGTGCAGAGGCAGCTTCTTGGCCATTCAAGTGTCGGTTGTGGGGAGGCCTTGTTGTGGGGTATGGCGGCTCCACAGCAGATCGGTGCGGCTGCCACCGGCTGTATGATGGACTGAAACTGTGGGACTCCACTACTGGTGTCGTACTGAGCTGGGCAGAAGGCGAATTGGTAAGTGCAAAAACAGGCCATTGCACCTCTGTTTTTCTGTGGGGAGGTGAGAATGCGACGAAATGGGCAGTCACCGCACTCGGTTGGGTTGCGCGATCGCTTTTCAGTGACTTATCAGGTTATCGGTTAGTCGGGAGGGAAGCCAGCGTTCGCCACCGGTGAGTGTGTAAAGAGCTGCCTGCATGTTTATGGAAACAAGCTTGGGAAAGTTGTGCGGTGGCTGTTCGTAGGCGTCCGAGGACAGTTTGAGGTGTATTGCGCCCGTTCCGGATGTCAGCAGCAGCCTCCTCGTCACTGGAGGATATGTACCGTCTGATCTTCGCAAGATGCGGCAGTCTGCCCCAACAGCAGGCTTGACGTTTTGGTCCTTGCGTCGTCGGGACGATCTGCTGTTGTCCGCCCTTCAAGGTTCGTTTTCGCTAGAGGTACAATTAAACGACGATCCCCCTGAAGGCGGCGGTGACTAGAACTCTTGACTACAGAGCGGGCGTGACCTGTGCTTCAGCAACAATGGGCAGATACCCTGATTCAAAGACTCCTAGCGCAGGAGGATTTCCTTAGCGGCGTAGGAGAACATCTGTACGATGGCTGCAGAAACCTATCTAATGCAATACTAGCGGAATCGCCTTGTGTGCACTGAGTTGCGTCAGCAGTACATTTTGAGTGGTCAGTGGGCGAACAATTGTCGCAGGTCTGTCCCAAACTCATAATGGGTGGGGTAGCATGTAAGGGGACAGCAAACTGCCTGAGCAACCACTGCAGCTCCACTCGCTAGAAAAAGAATGATCGAAAATCTGTACTTTAGTCGTCAAGAACTCGCCTCCTCCTGCTCACAGGTCGGCGTTTGGCCGCACCGCGCACAGCCCTGGCGCGAGCTTTTGCTTCCTTTGAAGTGGTCTCTGCACAACCTGCGTCTTGCGCAACAGGCGCCATTGCCTCCTCTGCAGGTGCAAACAAATCCATTGACTTTGAAGCTTGCTGATGAGTACTTGCGAGTGAGGGGTTGTCCTGATGCCCGTCTGCCGCTTCCGCATTCCCTTCACCTGGTTCGGCGACATTCCCCAAGCCCACGGAATGACCGGAATCTTGCGCGACTTGTTGCTGCTGTGGCTCCAGCCCTACGACTTCGCTTTGCACCTGTAGTTGCAGTTGTTGAAGTTCCCCGGGCTCACGTGAATTGCACGCTGCTTTCTTTTGTTCTGCTTGCGAATCGACGTCCATAGGGGCTTCTGCTGCGCATTCTGGCAGTGGTGGGAGCGGTTGCTGCTGCACCAGTGCCAGGTCAATCAGAGCAAGCATTTCCGCTGCGTCATCCTCTGTGAATCTGAAATCGCATTGGCACAAGTAGCAGCGAAGATTATCCCAGGGACTTACCCGGCAGGTGCACGAGCCTTTGTGTAGGTCCTCGAATATAACAGGGTGCGAACATGGATCAAACAAAAGAGAAACATCAACAACGCACGTGGATGCTAAGAATATATGCCAGCGCAAACCTGTTTGAACAGTCGTCTAGATACATGTATATTTCGACTGGCTTGAAGGCGCCCAGGTTCAAGATTGTGAGCAGCTCCAACTCGGTCAAGCCAAAGCGGTGGAAGAGGACGTCCAGGCATTCGCGGCAGCGCCGGCTGATGAGAGGCGACACTCCACCAGGTCGAATGGCAGTGACTCCTGATGCTCTTCGGCTTCCAACTTGAGCAGTGGGTGCCCCCCGCTTTGGTGGGACTCGGACTCCCGTGTGATTTTTCAATCGATCGGAGTGGTAGTGTGTATCAATTGGAGCGCGCACAAGGTGCAGGTAGGGGCATGTTTTTCGAATGTAGTCCTGCACCATCTGGTTGAACATATGCTGGTACAGTAGTTCTTTAACGTGATCTAACCTGAAACGTCCAACTGTTGATTCACCCTGCACGCTGGAGAAATGGCCGTCATCACGGTCGTTGCCCTTCGGAGCATCTGATTTCGAGCCCGCGTTTGCGGTTGAGCTGCCTGAATTGACTGAGCTCGGCTTGCTCGCCTGTCGCAGTAAACTCTCGACCGAGGGCAGCAGTTGCTGTTGTTGCACTAGAAGCAGCATCACTTCCATATTTGTAATGATGTCGCACCGCTCCTCCAGAATCTTCATTTTGCAGGATTGTGGGGAAACGATAATGATGCAGGCAACAAGTCGCGGAATGAAGTACTCACATCATCGGCGCCGTGGACCTCCCCAGGCTGCCGCCGTGGGTGTACCCAGTAGTTGTTTAGCCAGGGATGATTTTGAGGGATTCAGCTTCAACGCTAGAAAAGGATTTCGTTTGGTCAGCGGGAGGTTTGCTAGTGTGGTTAAGTACAGCCATTGACGGGAGAGCTCCCTCAAGTGGTATTTTATTGCCTGCCAGTATTCGGCTTGTGCTGACAGGCTGACAGGATGGAATTCACCAATTCCAGCGAAAATAAGCAACTTCAATTGAAAACAGCCCCGTCAGGGCGGACAGGTGAAATTCAAACGCGCCAGGGAATGACAAGCATGCTAGAGAGGGCGGCTCCGCCGGACTTCCTCAAAGGAAGTCTACAGAGACAAAAACCTCCAAAATATAAAGGTTTTAATGAAGCCGTTGGGCCCTAACAAGAAGAAGAGCATGCATCAAGCAGCCTTTCACCGACAGTCTTCTGCATGCGCTCCAGTCCCAAGGGCATCACTGACGTCTTCAACGAAGGAGAGAAAATTCGGGCCACTATGAGCCTCTATGTCGTTCATTTCAACCAAATATGCTGGATCTGGTGGAACGGAAGGGCACCTGATACTCTCCTTGGTGGGAATTCGATGGCTCGTGCTGACGCGTAGGGTGAAAACCGGCGTCGCACATCTTGGATGCTGTTCTGCGTCATTTGAGGAAAGTACTCCCGTTTTTACAGTCTAAAGATTTTTGGGGGAGGACGGGGAAGCGCCTGTGTCTGACAGGTAGATGGTCTGCTGTCAGCCCCTGCATCATCAGGACGCAGGGAAGGCCATGGGCATTTTTCTGTGTTGCCCGGTTCTTCCTTGGATCCTTTCTTTTGGCAGTCTGCGCATAGCCTGAAGATGGAACAAGTAGACTTGTTTTTTACCCACATCCCGCCTGTGACGCGGGTCTGTCTTGTGTCTTCAACTCTGTTGATGGCACTCTGCACTCTTGAGATCATCTCACCTTTCTCGTTGTACATGAACTGGCAGCTCGTCTTTACACACGGACAAGTCTGGCGCCTGATTACATGTTTTCTTTTCTTTGGAACGTTCTCGCTTCACTTTTTCTGGAATGTGTACGTCCTTATTTTCTATTGTTCAACTTTGGAGGAGCACCGCCGTAGTGCAACATTTCTGTGGATGCTTATCTGCACGGGAGGACTTCTTCTGGTACGTCGAAAATCTACGAACCTACTCTAGTAAACATTTCAAAACTCCCGTAGGTCTAAAAGGCTGTTGCTGCCTCCAAAGGAATGCATCCTTGGTTGCCGGACAGCGCACAGCTCTCCCCTGCATAGCTTCTCTCTCCAGACCACATACGTGGAATGGGTCATTTTTCTCGTTTTTCTCTCCGTGCAGGCATTCTCATACATTTTCGGAGTGAGCTCGTACTTCTTCAGCGGCTCAATGATCAACGTCATGACTTACATCTGGGGTCGCCGGAATCCAAATACGCGACTGTCAATTTTCTTCATGCCTGTACAAGCTCCCTACTTGCCCTTTTTGTTGGCCTTGTTGTCCCTTCTTGTGGGCTGGAATATGGCGGACCACCTCGTGGGCATCGCAGTTGGCCACTTATACTATTTTTTCGAAGACGTCTATCCGCTCCTGCCCACCAGCAAGGGGTTCCGCATCTTCCGCACCCCTCGGATCTTGATGTGGCTGCTGAAACAGTCGGAGGACTGAGCTTCAAGCTCAGTTCCACTATATTTAAGGGCTGATCGCACGACAAGAATACCATGTGTGCAATTTGTGAATGGCATTTGCAGAAGTGGTGTGCAGGATCGCCTGGCACAGTGCAACAAGCACGAGGTGCGTCTCGTCTAGAAGCGCTATTTACACAGTGAACGCAAAAGCTTCTGAATCCGCTAATCTTTTTGTTGCAACCGCCCTTATTAAGGGCCCTAGGCCAGCTGGCTAGCGAACGGGCACATTGCCCACATTGTATCGACAGATAAAATGCACATAGTGCTCGAAGCTGCGCAGTCGTTTCTCTGTCGTACTGGGCCTAGAGATTCATGGACGGCTCTCCTGAGGTGTGTTCAGTACGCACCGGTCAGACTCTTTTCAGCGAAGGGCATTTGCTGGCCAGCGTGGCAGCATCGTCCATCGCTTCAATGCGGCTTTTTGAGCTTACGAGGAACTTTTGCAGGCGCTTTTGTGCTACGCATAGCAGCCCTGAAACTTCTGCGGTTGTGTTCATTCTCTTAGTGTGTTTTTATGCCCCTCCACGAACTGCACCATGTGTAGGTGAGCATTGTTCAGGCGGATGGCAGAGCAGAGGTGGTATTGTGGGCTTACAGTACAACTTGTGCCCAATATTGTAAGGCAGAATTCAGGTCAATATGTAATCGCAATTTAATTCTATCCTTCGAAGGCAAGTGTATCTGCTTCGGATTTTATGATCAACTGTTTAGTGGGTCGCCCTACAGCCCACAATCTACTACTGACGGCACATTCGGGAGGTCTGCAGTTGTGTACGAGTATTTTCGCTAGACAGGATATCGCTTGCTCGACTTGGCGGCGGTTGTAAATGCTACCTTTTGCGTGGCGTGGAGATAACGCATTTATCGCACTTCTGCACTAGCATCGACAACAGAAACCCTTGAAGGGCAATTCTTTACGGCCTAGTATTTTATTAAGACGACGCACCATTTGCATTTGTTAGGGTGTCACTGTGAGGTATTGGGTGGAGCTGCAAACGAGAGATAAGAGCGGCTTTACTTGGCAACCCTGCTAGTTTAGTGGCACTCACTGCTACTGAGCTGGGTGCCTCTGTTAGGCGCTATAGCTTCCCGTCATGTGCAAAGAACCGTGCAGTGGTGATGGCTATGACGCCCGCTGGTTCAACTCAACAGAAGATTAAAATCTGCTTGTGAACAACAGTTCGAACACAACCTCGGGATTTCGGTGTCCCGCTGCCTAGTCCGCAATATTAAGCTTCGCCCCCATGCTTATGCTGCTTTTGATATACATGCGGAATGAGTGCTCAAGGCTCCTCAGTGGCTATTAGCACAGAACATGGCTATTCCAACGAGAATCAAAGCGTATTATACGCTGATTGCGTACCCTTGATCCTAGTCTGGATAGGAAATTTCCCAAACAATACTAGTTTATGCTTTCCTTGGACGCTTGACGGTAGAACAACAGAAAGCTTGGGAGTTAAGCCAATGGCAGAAAGACGGTCTGTACACTGTTTGCTTAGGAGGTTTCAGTCAGCTTTGATTATATATGCTAAATACGTTTGTTGAGTGCTCCTACGTGCTGCAACCTTCATTTTGCCTCCTGCTTTCCAGAGGAGGAAGATAAGAAGGTGCAGAGATAACAAGAATCCTCATGCGCATTCACTTGGTGTATATTAGCCAAGCTGTCCTGTTTTTGGTGCCTTTCCTTGTGATGCTGTCTCCCAGGGTGACCTCGTGCAGAGGTGGCCCCCCAGAGCTCTCCACCCCAAATGCTACTATGCCACTACAGATGGCTTTCAGAATTTGACAATCATATAGAAACTCTTCTATATGAGGTTTTTAACCAAAGCAAAGCGCAATCCAGAATACAGTCTGCTTTCGAGGGATCGCACGTCGTGGGCCTGAACAAAGCGAATGGCCGCACCCCTCTGCGCAATGGCAGGTCCATTGGCTGTGGGTAAACACGCAGCTGTAACACCCCTTTTTTCCCGGAGGTTTGTCAAGCTTAGTTATTAAACTTCTTTCCTTATAGTAGCTGTTTTTATTATTACTTACCCGCTGGAATGGCTGCTCAAGAATCTGGCTTCAGCCGCCTTTCAGACGAGCACATAGCGGGAGTGATTCGTGATTCTGACGAATGGGCGTTTGTCGAATACATGGTCCAAATAAATACAAGGAGTTCCCGTGTCAAGCTTCTTCAGGCCTGGCACATGTCACCGCTCCCCGTTGTAAACCAGTTCGAGAAACGCACGGCCGTGAGATTGCGCGCAGCTTTCGAAACCACTTGAAGGACTCCAACAATAGACACGCACACCGACAAACAAGCAGATTTCAGAGTGGCATTAAATACGAGACTGCAAATACGCATACTGCCACTGCGCTTGTCCTTTATTCAGCGCCGTCTTGTGGTGTATTCATTCGTCGACGCTTCTATGCTCGATGAAGACAATTCCATTCAAGATGTTGCCAGACGCGGCTTCAAGATCGGTCCTC